GTATTAAATTGAGAAAGAAAAAAACCTCTCGTTTGCAACAAAAAAGTAGGTTTGAGAAAAAAATATACAAAACAAAACCAAACAAACAAACACATGGAATTGTCACAAGCAAAGGTGCCTTCTGAATCTTACTACAATAGCATAGACCTTCATACCTCTGCCTACATTCAGCCTCATGCTTTTTCCTGGATCTTCTCCCCTTTTTAGATAATGGGGAAAATTGGGATCCACTCAGAATGAGTCTTTCTATGCACCCCTTAATAACATGCACCATTATTTCAAGTGTATTTCAAAAGATCACTGCCTCAGAATTGAATGCAGTTATTTTTAGTGGAATCAGCATTTCAATTGTATTGGGAACTTTCAGGAATTCCTAAATGTTTAGAAGCACAGGCATCACTTACCTGTGGACTATTTTTAGTCACACAAGTTCAGGAATTATAAAACTGCCATATAAAAGATCAAGAAATTACAAGACTGCCATATTACTGTTTATTTATGAAGTTTAATTTTACTAGTGAAAACTAGTAAATGGTTTCGTTGATTGAAAGTCACATGGCAAACCAATATCAACAACAGAACTCTGGTGTCGTTTTTTCCCCTGAAGAGGTATTATTTTCTATTATGATATCAGTAAGTGCAGCACATTTCATGATTGCTGCTACTTAGATGATAACATTCTGAACATTCTTACTAGAACATGAAAAATACCATCTAATTTAATATAATTTAACATACTGTACCACAAACGTCGCATTGACTGTTCATCTGATTTCTCATATATTCTGTTGGAAGAAACTGGATGATTTTTGAAGACATGAATAACTGAAAAGAGAGATGACTTTCATTAAAAAAAAGTCTTAGAAAGTCAGGAAAATCAGATTAAAATCAGGTTAAATTTACAACTGACCCAACCCCTGTTCTGTTGATGCAGGTGACACATCTTCTTTTATTAAGATTCTACCTATATACAACTTCACTTCCTGTCGATTGTTTATAGGACAGCACATATAAAAGTCATATTCATCTAGACTTGGATTGATACTATAAAAAAATCTAAGTCACATCGATTTTGTCACCTGCTCTGATAGGATATTTGGCCTTGTACTTCACAGATCTCTCCAGCTGGCCACATGATGAGTCCTCCAGGCTACCAGGCATGGTACCAGTTCTATCTTAGCTCTGTCTTCCCCACTATTTGCAAGCAACCAATTTGTATCAGCTCCAGCTCAACAGGCAGACAAGATGGAAAATCTACTTTGTCTGGGGTGCACCCTAAGGTTTCTCCTAAAGTTGGAATTTTTAGCCTTGCATAATTGCAGCGGGACATACAAAATTGCATGAAAATTCTGCATCTGGTCCACTCTAATCTGCAGTAAGAGACCATGAGGGGCTTTTAAAGTAACCTGACAAAAGCACAGGACTATAAGCAATCTGGAAAGGCATAGGCTGTTAAACACTGTGGTTGCCTTTCCAGCACAGCGTAAACAAGAAATGCAAATGCAAATTAAGATGGTGCTCTACTTTGGTCATGCTCATCTAACAAGGTCTTAGCATTATTCTTGCTTCTAAGAAGCGCACTATACTAATGCCCAACGGAAGGCATGCGATTAAAATCCATAGAGAACGGTGACAACGCAAAGAAACGGGTTTCAGCACAGGCTGTCACTGGTGACGATGACAGCGAGCGCCAGCGGGTCCCGCTCCACGTGATTCCCGGGCCCGGACGGACGCGCCGACGGCTCCACCCCCGCGTCACCGCGGAGGCTGCGGCCAGGACACACGGGCGGCCCCCCCCGCTCCCGCACTGCGCATGCCCGCGCCGCTGGGCGCCCGCGCATGCGCAGAGTCTGCGGGCGTGCTCTGTGGGCGGGCGGTGAGGGCGGAAGTGGGGTGTGCCGCCGCGGCCCGGCTGCCTTCGGCGCCCGGAGAGAGGTAGCGTGGCCGGGGGGAGCGGGGGCGGTCGGCAGCCCCAGGGTCCGCTCTGCGTCTCACAGCAGTGTGTAAAGTCTTGGTCTCTTCCCGGATTTATAAATTCTTATATAAACTTAATAAACTAAAGTAAATGAGCCTTTGATACTGTTTTGCCCTCTTTCTGCCCTTATTTTTATTTGTATTTATTTTTTTTTAATTCTGGCTAGCTGTACGTTAGTGAAAGGAATCTGGCGGTACCATCTGTGTTAACTAGCATAAAGATGTTCAGGTTTGTAGCGAGAAGGTGGGGACCTAGAGGGCTGTATGAGCCGTGCACCGAAGGCTTGTGCCTAAGGGAGCGCCGTGGTCGCTCTGCCTTAGTTAACTGATGTGGCGTTCCCCTTCCGCAGGGGTCACGCACTGCCCGACTGTGCCTGTATCTGTGCTCGTGTGCCTAAATCTCTCCCCTCCAGTCCTTGTTCTGTGCCTGTATCTGTGCTCGTGTGCCTAAATCTCTCCCCTCCAGTCCTTGTTCTGTGCCTGTATCTGTGCTCGTGTGCCTAAATCTCTCACCTCCAGTCCTTGTTCTGTGCCTGTATCTGTGCTCACGTGCCTATATCTCTCACCTCCAGTCCTTGTTCTTCATGAGTAGTCCTGCTGGGTTCAATAAGTCAAAGATCAGCTTTGCCACTGCTTGCTGGTTGAGTGTTTTTAAGCAGAATTGCCTTTTTTTTTTCATAGTCCCAAATATTATATTGATAAATATATTTGTTTATAGGACCTTCAGAAATCTATCATATTGACTGAGCATATCAATGTATGCTATTGGCTGTTTCTTTATTCTTTGTGTGGTTTTGGTGAGGCTTCCTGCAGAGACACTCAGTGGTTTGGGAAATGACTTTATTTAGCTCTCTGCTGAGTCCCATGATGCTGCCTACCGTTCTTGCAGGCTCCTTGTTTTTATGCCAGCATCCCCTCTGCATAGGTCTGTTTATGCCACTTCAACTTCTTGAGCAACACACTGAAATTAGAATGATTCTTGTCAGTTTTGTGCAGAGGCCCTTTTGAGAACAACAGAGATACTTGACAGACTTGTGTTCACCTACCTGCCATTCAGGAAAGCTGTGAACACCAGGGACAGCACTGAAGATGTCCGCCTGGGAAGCCAGTGTTGTGTCTTGTTCAGAAAACTTGGACTTGCAGCTCTAGGAGCTGATACCTGTGTCTGTTTTTATAATTGCTGGGAATCAAAATCTGGGAGCTTTGATGGTGATAGTAATAAATATAGTAATAGTAATAAAAATAGTAATTAAAGATTCATGACCTGTTTGTTCATATTTACAAAATTACCATCTTTCCAGTGCACTGAATAGCAAGGAATTGTGTGGAAACTCTGTCATCCAAATAAGTGTATAAATGACAAGTCAAGCTTTGAGAGCATTTTGCTTTTAACATTTCTGAATGTTATGCTTGACTTTGTAATTCTAGTCCTATTTTAACTGAGTAAATTAAAACAAGAAATAAATAGGAATTAAGTTGTGTAGAAGCATAATAGGAAACTCAGTGTGGTTCTCATCAAGATTTTAATCTGCAGTAAAATCTGTTTTACCACAGATATTAATTAACTGAGCTATTAGAATAGCTGTAATAGATGGTGCCTGGTCTCCAAAACTGGCAAGTTGAGATGTTTGATGTGCCCATCTCATGGGCCTTCAGTGCTATCTGGTAAAGCTTTCAAGCCCTCAAGATGTCAGATTTTATTCACCAGTCAACTGGTTGACTGTTGGTTTCTAAATACTTTGAGCTGCTACCATTGATCTGTGTCCTGTAGTGTATTATATAGGATACATTTTAGAGGTTATAGACAATACTTTGCAACTTCATTGAGAAATATGTGAGATACGAAGTTGAAACTTTCATCTTGATTTTCCTGATCAGCATATGAAGTAATGTCTGTATAAACACTGTAGGTTCATATTAAGTTAAAATTGGATATAATTTTCTTTGAAGCAGCCAGATTGTCTTTAAGGGAACATGAATTGTTAGAGTGTAGGCTGTTTATCACGAGGAAAATTGTATACTGTCCAATATGATAAGCTGGATGCAAGCTAGCCTTGAGTGTAAGTTGACTCTTGCTTTAGGTGAAGCGGGAGCTAGCATTCAGGACCATATTGGCTATATTTCTCCTTTAGGAACTGTTATCCCAAATGTAATAGGTGCCCTTGAAGAGCCCCAGGGCTGGAGGTCTGCAGAGGTCTGCAGAGGCTGGAGCAACTAATGCCACAGATCCCTGCTTCAGACATTGGCCTCAGAGCAAGTAACAGGCAGCCCGTTGTGGGTGTGGAATAGGAGTCCTCATCTCCAGGATCTGCTGGGGCACCGGCCTTGTTAACAACTTTCATTGTCTTAAGGCTCTCTTACAGCCTTCTGGTTAGTGCTTTCCTAGTCTTCCTTGCCTCATGGAAACAAATATTGTAGATATTTTCAGATCTTAAATCTTTTTTCTTTTGTGTGCAGAATGGAGGAATAATGAGGAAACTTTGACCAGTGTACAGACCAGTTCAGAAGTCAGAGACGTCAGAGACTAGTGTCAGATAGTGTGTCATCACTGCTTCCCTTTCTCCATATTTTTATACGCTGCACTCTGTTTCAGCTCCAGTGGTACTTCAAGATTTCGCTTGGCAAGAAACTTCTGGCAAGGGCACACAAAATTCTGCTCTGTTTTTAATGGCATTTATATACATATTATTCACGCTACTCTCTGTTTCATCATTACTTTTAAGCATGTATAATGTAGTATTTTGTTGCCTTTTGAAGTGTCATGCAGTGTTTGCAGAATAAAATAGTTTGGGTGGAGGTCTATCTCCAACAAATGTTACTTTCTCTCTTCTTTCTCTTCATGGTAATAAAATAGGAGGCTGAGGCCTACAAAAGATTTAATCTCAAATAGTTAAACTCTTGTGATTAAATGGACATCCCCTTCTGAGTAAACTTGCAACTTATAGTAACTCGTAATACGAACAAGTTAAGCAATTGCTCAGGACTGTTTTATTTATTTATTTATTTGCTTAGAGGAAGCAGCAAAAATGCCTGTTCAGTTGCTGAAGATCATTAAAGGAGAATCTGAGATTCCACTACCAAGTCACTTGCAGAAAGAGGAGTTAAAATGCTTGCAAGAAGGAATTGATTATACCAACAAATACTTTCAGGTAACTTGCTAAAAAGAGAATTTTGGTTTACCTTAAAGTTTTTCCTGCTATATTTACAAGGCACCTTCATATTCCAGTTCATTCGAAGCCTTGTTGTTTGTGTATGTGTTTGTGCATGTATATGTACATGCGTCTGCTGCATGTATTTAAGAATGCAAAATGTTGAGCCTATGGAACTTCACTGAATTTCTGACATCATTGGTCTGTAATTTCCCCCCACACTTTTACATTGCTAGAGACATGAATTTTATAAGACTTTTTTTTTGTTTTACTTTCTAAGCTGCAGACACATACAAAAACACATTAAGGTGCAGCTACATGATCAAACAAGAAATCAAACAAGATTTGATTTCTTCTTATCATCACTAAATGTGCATTCTTGCTAGTATTTTTCAGTGATCCAGTGGTACTTCAGATTGGAATAGAAGATACTTGGGCATATGTTTCCAAGTACAGTCATAGTGTACTAGTAATGTACAAAAGTATTTTTTCTTCCTCAAAACAGGTACACTCTGTAAAATACAGTGTCAATTCTTGAAATGGTTTTTACATCCATTAAACATTATTTGAACATTGCGGAAAATTCTATTCATCATCTCTGGCACTTGCAAGCAGGAAATCAACATCATCCCAATCCGAACTCACCCTCTATGTGTTACAGAAAAAGAAATAAAAAAGCAGAAAAAAGCAGAAAAGAAAAAAAAAAAGCTTTAGCCCTTAAAAATGGGAAACACATTTTAAAAATAGGAGCTTATGAAAATCTAATGGCATGTTGCAGCCAACAAGAACAGTTTTGTTTCCTCAGCTGCATATTCCCGGTTCCAGTGAAGAGTCTCCGTGAAGAGTCCAGTCAGAGAAATAACTTGGCCAAAAGCTGTTCATGGCAACTTGGAGAGGATAGATTTCATCTGCCCCGGCTCCCTGGGCTGGTTGGTCTGATGTCAGAGAGATGTCAGGAACAGCAGGACTGTATAAAGCAGAAAGGAGCAAAACTGCCCTTTTTGGAAGCAAAGACTATGATGGATGGTGGCTTGATGACATAAATGAGAAAAAGTGACCCAACCTCCCTTAGGCCTTATAAAGGGACAAATGGAAACATCGATAACCAATACAACTAGTAAAGAATATTTCTGTTCCTTTGGGTTCGGTTTTCTCTCCCCATTCACCTGCAGGGCACATAAACTTCCTTGCTTTTAAGAGCTAATTCTTCAGGCACTGCTGATGCTAAAGTAGAGGAATTCTTGTTCACAGAAAAAAATGTTGAAGCAGAGAAAAACAGACACTAAATTAGAAAATGTTTATGCCAAAATCAATGTCTTTAGTAGGAAAGCAGAACAAATAGGACCTGACTATGATTTAAAATATTTAGGTACTGTTATAGGTATATATAATTTTTTTTTCTTTTGTCTTACATGAAGAGAACTTGATGCTGCTGCAAACATGGATAAACAAGTGACTAAAACAGCCTGGCATAAAAACAGGGCAGCTCAAGAGCTGATAAAGCACTTACTGCTAATGCACCATTAAGTACTTCGGAGACCCCAGTTCTGCAGGCTGAGCTTGAAGCAGACCTTAAAATGCACTGATGTTAGGTTATCTTAGTGGTAGCACAGCACACTTTCACTCAAGAGTTCCCAAAAAAAGAATCAGGTCCTGCTTTGAGGCAGAAAGAAGGGAGGGGAGATTTCTGTGAAATGTGTCTAGAGGTAATTTCCAACCCAGCCATTCTGTGATTCTGTGTTTTAGGGAAAAAAAAAAAAAAAAAAAAAAGGCATCCAGGAAACCTCTGCCTGGCTTGTGTTTCTCAGCCCTTTTTCTTTTCTGATACATTTTGTTTTTTTGCCATCCCTTTGAAGAATAGAACATTTCAATTTCATTTCAATTTGTGGGAATGTGACATAAGCAAAATGCATGGGTCTTCTATTAGACTTAGCTCCAGCTGAAGCTGATGCCTCTTGCCTTTAATTTGTCCTCCTCTAGACTTTGCTGTGGCAGCTGAACCAAACGTGAAAATGTTCTGTGATGTCCCGGAGCAGCTGCCTGGTCAGCTGCTGGGCTGGGAGAGAAAGCAGGCTGGCGAGCAGGGAGGCAATCCTTAGGGGAACTACCTGGGCAGTCTGGGAATGAGACTGGTGGCATATGGAAGAAGGAAGATTTTGGAAGAAATTTGTCTGTGGTTTTAAATGAGCATTAGAGAGTTTGGCGGGGAGTGAGTTTGAACAGCACTAAGGCGGATTTTGCTGAAAACTGAAGGTGTATGGAGAAAGGATTAGACAATGTGGCTGTTTTTCTGATGAGGAGGAGAACTAGGGAGCAGGTGTTTGGGTCACTGAGGAAAGCAAGCTGAGCCAAACTACTATAGAGAAGAACATGTTTCCAAAGTTGGAAAAGAGCAGAATTTAGGAGGGGAAATGAACAATTACCAGTGGTTGGAAAGCAGCTCCTAGCTCCCCAGTGTATCCCGTTTTCAAAATGCAAGCTTGTGCAGATTGAAATTTCACTAGAAAAGAAAAAAAAAAATAAGTGTTGCTGAAGTGACTTTGTTTTCTTAGATTTTCATACAAGAAAAATTGTGTAA